CCCCTCTCTCTGCCCCACTTTCCTGTCTGTCTTCAGCTGTCACTATCATAAAGGCAATAAAAGCCAAAAAAAAATAAATAAAAAGGATCTAAAATCCTACAGTATACTTTGGACAATCATTGCTGGTCATTTATACCATGGTCTAAGTTAATACTCAATTCTTGTTGGGCATTATTGCTAACATAGAGTATGGCTGAGTTGTAGCAATATTTTGTCTTGTGATATTGTATCGACTCTCAGAAACACTGTATTGATTTTTGTGTTGAAACCCCCAACAGCTAGATAGCAGTGCTGTAAACATAAAGTGAGGGCTATGATGTTGGATGTTACAGAGATATAAACAGATCCCACAGTTCTGGTTGCAAAAAAAACCACAATATGTGACCTTGTTTACAGTATCAAAATATATTGAATAGTGTCTCCTGTATCGCGATATGTATTGTTTCAGCAGGTACGTATGTGCCATAATATGTATTTTTGCATGTTTTAGTGGGATAAAACATGCTAAAATGCTCATATGATCCTTTAGTAGTAAGATCTGGTGATTATATGCCCACACTTAACACTGTTTCTCTATCGAGCCAAAGGAAACCAAAGCCAGAAAGACAACTATCATTGACAAAGTGACAGCCAAGGACTGCAAATAGCCTTATGACAGGTAAGAAGTCATGTTTAATCCCCTGCCAGCTGTCTGCACTTGTTAATGATGGCTCTTAAAGGGGAACACCACTCAACAAACATGTTATTCCAACATTTAAGACTTCTTTTTTGATCAAGAAGAAGTGGGAGATGTTGACGGTTTACATTGAAACTGGTTATAATCTCTGCTGTTCCAGTCTGATCCAACAACATTTATCCTTCCCATAGTTTTCATAGTCTTACCATCTTTCCAGTTTGTTCTTATATCCAGACTTTATGTCGGATGACATCTCAAGTTTACACTCATCTGTACACATCATACATCCAATAGGAAACTTTCTTGTGTGCTTGCTTCTTGTTTTTAATCAAGCAAACAAGTAAGAACCACCAGTAAATTACAGTACAGTAAATTGTTCTCTCTCTTTCTCTGTTTACAGAACCTCATCACTGTTGTGACATATGGGAGGTCACACATTAGTGCACTTTACAGCTATTTTTAAGATGAAATTTGGGAGAGGATTTGAGAGGGATTTTCTCAAGGTGAATGTCCTAAGTTAGGACACTGAGAAAAGGCGGCATGTCCTCTCACTTTACTCAGCTGTCTTTCTATCTTTAGTATCGCTCCAAATATCAATCATATTGAGTTTAGTTACAAAGCAATGGGAAACAAAAGCAGAGTAAAATCACATCAGTCTGCAAACAGACAGCAGCAGATGAGTAGTTGAAGAAGTTGGACATGTAAAAAGATGCTTCCAGCAGTGTATTTGCCCCAAATTAATTTCCCCAAAAAGTCAGGAACAAATAAAACACCAGTTGTATAGAAACCCAGCTGATAACCCAGCTGTGCTGCAGATGATGACTTGCTGGGTGACTGGGTCAGCAGAAGAAGTTTGTCCATCTTCAGCCATCTGGCTTTTTCTTTGGCCTCCTCAGAAAACAAAAGCAAATCCTCAAAGATTCTTTCAAAACTAAATTTCCTTTTCCTTGTCGTTTCCCTTTTACCTCCTTATCAGCTTACTGTTTCTTACCATGACGGCCGGCTGTGCTGAACAACAGTGACCAGTAAAAACGACAGACGTCTGGGAAAGAGAGTGTCCCTGCTACACGATTCAGGTATCACTGTGGCTCTCCTCCCCTCCATAAGTACCCTCTCATCCCACTACACTTTTACTGAAAATGATCAGGATTGGGCAAGAGGCCCCCTCCTCGGACAAGAGACAGCCAATCAAATCCAACTTTACTTTGTGCCCGCATACAATCTGCTGATGGACATCCCCTTGTGTGGCTCACTCTCTAGCCCCCCCATATTTAGATAACAGACAAGCTCAGTGACATTTATTAAAAAAAAAGAAAACAGTGTCCGCATCGGGCAGCTGGAGGTTATTTTGGCCGAGGATCAACTGGGCATCTCAGTACAGATGGACACTTGATTTAACATACAGTACAAGAACCAGAGTGAATGCACACACACGTCACACACGTCTCTCTCTCTCACACACACACACAGATGTATTAACACCTTCCTGTATGCACAGATTCTCAACCTCTTTCACATCCATCAATCCGCCTGTCCACCTGTCCCCACTGCCTCTGATTTGCCCTTGCACTTATGACATCTGTAACTTTAGAGGCGTGAAAATGGACCTGTGATCTCGCACAGCTGTACCCCATCTTTAACCATTTTAGCTATTGATTTCTCACTCTCTCAACAAGTAAACAAACAAAATCATCTCATATAGCCAGAACAGGCAACCCATAATTAGTACGTCAATCAGCCACAAGGCTTAATAGAGAGCTGGAGTGAAGCCAAACTTTCAGGGCTCTCTTCCAGAAGAAAGAAAATCATCAATCAGCATTTTGTCAATTCATTATTCAAATAATTAAAAATCCAGCCTTGGAAATTAACCTTTCGACATTATATGTCTAGACAAGGATGGTATAGCTTTTGAAATCTAACGTCTTATGTCATTGTTTATTTATTATAACAAACCCTATCGCGGCTTGACAAGAAACGAGTCCATGAGCAGGTTGAGGGGCTGTGGTTAGTAGGACGGAGTAACGAAACAGCAGAGACTACAGCAAAAAATTTGGAAAGAAATTAGATCATGTATTAATGACTTTTTTGAATATAGATGAAATCGATTATTCCTGTGCTACCTCGCTAGTAAATTTACAAAGTCACAAAGGTTTCAATTTCTAATAGCCAGTGCTGTAGTGGATGCTGATTTTTGATAGAATATGGACAATAAGCCCAGGAACACCCTTCATTTTCTTCAGACTGATGAAAAAATGCTGAAAAGAAAAATGAGAATGAGAATGAAACCAGTCCTGAAAAGATATGTTTGCCATACTCCTGACAGAATTTGATATGTTATATTTACCAACTAGACTATATCACATGTTTCATTGCTCTGATTGGTAAAGATCTATCCAATTGCACCCAAGTGTCAGCAACAATGCCTAGTTAGGTACTACTAAGTAACATCCACATGAATGGCAGGACCCAATGTTTCCCAGCAGAACATCGCTCAAAGCACCACACTGCCTCTGCCAGCTTGCCTTCTTCCCATAGTCTTCCCTCTCTCTGGTTCACAGCTTTTCCTTCCTTGGAGAACTTTTGATAGGTACTGACCACTGCAGACCGGGAACAACTCACAAGAGCTGCAGGTTTGGAGATGCTCTGACCCAGTCATCTAGCCATCACAATGGCCCTTGTCAAAGTCGCTCAGATCCTCACGCTGCCCATTTTTCCTGCTTCTTATACATCAACTTTGAGGACAAAATGTTCACTGCTGCTGATATATCTCCACCCACTACAGGAACCATGATAACCAGATAAATCGAGTGTATACATCACCAGTCAGCGCTCACAAGTACGTTCATGGAACTCCATCAAGTAGTTGTTGAGATATTTCAGTTAGAACCAAAGTGGTGCACAATGCGATCGCTGGAGCCACGCTGCTAGCATGGCTTAACCAATACAATATTAATATAAATAAGGGATAAGGAGTTTTATTTTTCTGATAGATACAATCTAATAACAAATGCACAACTCCAAGGATTCCTTTCCACTCCAGACCACCAAATCATTTGACAGACGAGTCAATGCAGGTGTCTTTTCTGATCTTGGTGCAGCCTCTGGAATTTTAAGCAGTTAGGCTTTGGAGTCTGTCAATTCTTTTACTGGAAATCTATTTATGCCCGGAGTACTGTCTCATTGGCATGGAAATAAGAGCAGCTGTGGTCACTTATAACTTCTACTGTATATGCCTCTTATCTTGAGATCAAAAAGCATGCAAAGGTATCCAATTGATAAGAGGAGTATAATTGGAGCCACTTTTAAAAGACATGGCAGATACATCTTAGGGGATCAGGGAAGCCTGCGAATGGGAATTGTAAATTAAATTAAACTTGAATGAAACCAGAATATAAGCGGGGGCCACCGGATGGCTCATTCCTTTTGGTAAATGGATGGTAAATGGACCTGTACTTGTATAACGCCTTTCCGACCACTCAAAGTGCTTTTACACTACGTACCACATTCACCCTTTCACACA